CCCCCTGGAGCGGGCCGCCCCAAAAAAAAAAAAAAAAAAAAAAAAAAAAAAAAAAAAAAAAATATATATATATATATATATATTTTTAAAGGAATATGTAGTCCTGCCTCAAAATAAAGTTGTTTTTAACAAAAACTTTTACGTTGCTTTGGCTTTAAAATTTAAATTAACTGAAATGAAATAAAATTAAACATCTAGTTCCTCAGTTGTACTAGCCACTGAACTGAGCTTTGAAAGAAGCAGGAAGCAAGCATTTTTTTTGGCAGCTGGCTGCTATGGGGAACCAAATCCTTGACACTGGTGTTATAAGGCTGCATTCTAATCAAGGCAAGCATTTCTAAACATGCCCCATCCCCCCTTCCCCAACCTGGCAGAGGTAGTTGCCCTGAACTTGCATTGGTAATGACACTGCCACCATCACACTAGTTACCCAGTGCCTGCTGTGGGCCACACATTTGAAGGCCAGGTCCCCAGTTCACAACAGAAGCTATTCTCCTGCCCTTCCCAATCTCCCTCCAATTGTCTGTTCACGGGTCTACCTTCCCCACTACTTGAGCTCCACAGGGACAAGGACTGTCATGTTCATCTATCTCCCTAGAACTTAGCACAGGGCCCACTACTGCTTTATCCAGAGCAGCATCTTCCTGCTGACCATGCACTTACAGGCTGGTACTCTGCTAGGTGCTGGAAGGATGGCAGTAACACAAGGTCTCTGTCCCCACAGAGATTACAGCAGAGGTGAAAGACAGACCTTTAACATACTAGAATAAAGCATATGCAAGCAGGTATTAAGTGAGCACTAGTCAGGGGAAGTTAAGAGGTATGAAATAGCACCACACTGCCTAGATGAGAAGGTGCAAAGCAAAGGGAGAAGAAAGCAGGGTTACTGGCAAAGCCCTTGTCAACATTTAAAAATGCCAAAGCCGCCTCAGACCAATCCCTCCCAGCAACCCATCGCCACCCCTCTGCAATCAGTTGGTCTAGGGCTCTTTCCTCACAGGCCCACCTAGGATATAAATCTTAACAATCTGCCATACAACTCCCTACTAGACTAAGCCCCCAGAATCTGGAGCTATGTAGTGTGGCATTTCTCAAATGTATTCAGCAAAGTTCCTTCATGGTCGGCAAACAAAGGAGAAATATGAGAACTTGACAAAATTACATGGGTCTCTCTGTTACAGGACTTAGAGCCGTAACTATGTCAATATACATATCAATGTACTTTAAGTCTGGACACTGGAGCTTAGGTCAAATCTACTGTGCAGTATTTCTCACTCTTATTTGACAGGAATGCTTTTCACAAGTGTATCCTTAAACTGATGTTCTATGGAACCCACTTTGGGAACACTGGTTGGAGTATTTCCTATGCAATTTCTAGTAACAAGCACTGTGCTCCACAGAGCAGTGGTCTTTAACTGGAGCTCCAATAACTTCCAGGAATATGAAACTTCCCAAAGTGGTTTAAGAAGATCAGTTTCTAGGACCTAACTTCCATACATATTCTCCCTAAAACTGATCCACCTAAGACAGCCTTTGGCAGAGTCTCCTTTCCTGATTGCCCTTCTCCCACTTTACCAAAGGAAGGCATACCAGGGACTGAGACACACTCCTTCTCACTGCCCTGCCCTCAGCCACTTAGGCTGGGTGACTACAGCTGCGGTCCGTGTGCCACTGGATCCATGGCGCAGGCACCCAGCTCTGTTAGATGAGTGAATGGACTGCACTCTGCTCCTCTCCCTCCTCCAGGCTCTCTGTACTTCAGTCCACTCTTACTGGACTCACTTTCCTCAAAGTGCTGCTTGCATTCTGTATTTCCCTGCTGAAAAATCACAACTGCTCTCCTGACAAACACAAACACCTTGGTTGGCATTCATCTCCCTTCATTCAATCCCCTCCATCCTCTGCTTCTGACATGTACCCTCTACTCCTGTCAGGGAGGCCTCCTGGCCATCTCCTGTTCCCACCTCCAAGCCTTTCCAATGCCATATCATCTGCCTGGAACGTCTGCCTTCCCCTTCCTGTCAATCAGCATCCTGCCTGTCCTCCTACACTCTCAAGGCATGTCCCGCTCTCCAGGCTACTGGTCAGTCTGTCAGTCCACACCGATGCCCTTTATGGTGAATTCCTCTCACACCACAGAGATAGGCTCAAATCCTAGCTTTCTCACTGCATAAAATAAACTTAAGTTATTTAAACACTTGAGCCTTCATTTCATCTGTAAAACGGTAACACCCTTTACACCAAAAGACAGTAAGACAGGTCAAGTGAGAGCATACTAGAGAGCCAAATTCACAACCACCACTAGAATAATATGCTCCATGAAGGTAAGGATTTTAGACTGCTTTATATGCTGAGGTATCTCAAGGCCTGAAACAATCCCTGGCACAAAATACACTCTCAATAAATACTTGGTGAATCAAAGGATTGACAGGATGAACAATGTACTGACTTACTTGATTTAATCGATTTCATAAACATTTGATGTAGTTATGATTATTATTTCCACTTTATAGAAGAGGAAACTGAGACCTTGCAGAGGCAGGAAGTCACAGAGCCAGGAGTTGAACCTCAGCAGTCTAGCTCCAGATCACAGGGTGGGGTTCTCTGGTTTGAGTATCTCTTCCCTACCTAGAATCATCCTTGAATCAGAATTGGTCTGTTTCTCTGGCCTGCTTTCCACAGTACCAGGCACCCAGTTAACTACTCAACCCTTGCCTGGTAAATGCTGAAAACAATAAGACCCACACTTTTGCATTAAGTCAGTTACCCCAGAAGAGGGTCTTAGAGCGTGCAGTCATGGTTTGGGCCTTACCTTGCCCTTGAACAGGATTACTGGGCAGACAAACCGTCCTCTGCACCTGGCCATCTTGCTGCGGTTGATGAGGTCTTGCAACTTGCTCACTTGCACGGTGCTTTCAAACCTAACACAGGGCAAGAAAGGCAGGTCAGGCTGGCTTCTATGTGGGCGTGTTGTGTATGCATGTTTGTTCACACAGACCCCACACAAGGTCTGCATCATGTGTAAGCATATTCATTTGAAATTGAATACATGCTACAACTCCTAAATTCTAGAACACTGACAAAGTTTTCCAGGGGAAAAAAAGGTGTTAGAACAGGTATTAAAATTTGAAGTCCCCTGAGTTCAGAACCTAAGATGGAAAACAAGGTGAATTAAACTGAAGACATGGTATATAAAACAAACAGAAATATACACAGGAAACTGAATACTGATTATATCTAAGGTATCCAGGTTTTTACTCTCACGGTAAGACCTGGTGCCCCAGGAACCCTCTGGAAATCATCAGGGCCATTCTGTGATCTTTTAGGGGGCAGGATGAGATAAAGGTTCATGGTCCACATGGCTATAAACGTTTGATAGCTCATTAACATTCCAATCATCTTTAACAGTCCAAATAGCTGACAAAGCAGGGAAAGCTGGGGCAAAGGAGGCGAAAGAGAAGCTCTCTGTGGCATTGAGAAGTGTAGTAGGTGATGCAATGGGTTTGGTAAGGGAGCTCCTAGAACAAAGAAGAGCCAGGTTTAGAATTGAGCTGCAGCAAGGCACACCCACATCAAATCATGCCTCCCTAAAGAAAGGGTCTACTCTCACAGACTCACCTACCAACTCTTTGCAGAGGCCTCACATCAGCCAGTCAGAGTTTCCAATAGCAAGAGAAACAAGAGGCAAGAAAGTTAGAGTAGGAAGCTTTCCCAGCTATGCAAAGTAGCTGAGCAGAAGGGAGGAAAAACACTTATGTTCCTAAAAGGGTTGAACTTTCAGGCCAGGTCCTAGAGAGTATTTAATCCCTTCCACATCCTAATCCTTCTAGGAATCCACGTGCTATTGCATGGCTCCTCATGTACACATGCATCCACATACTGTTTCAGAAGGAATAAGTAAGTGCCTCCCACGCATCTGTGGGACCTTCCTAAGTGTATCTGGATGCTGTTGGGGTTAATAAAAAAATACAAAGTCTTAAAAACACTGAATTCTTAGTAAAAATATACCTACAAAGGCTACTAACTGTGGCTTGAGAATATAACAGTCAAGTGAGGGTCTGAAATTGCACTTAAAAAGGGATCTTCAAATAAATCCCAGGATCAATAGCTTGATGATTTTGGAAAGAGAGTAAGGGGGTATAAAAAGACTTTACACCTTCCATGGCGTATTTGTCTGTAAGGTCTTATTTAAGATGTAATTTTTGTAATTAAATTTTTGTTGTTGTTGAAAGAAGGAGTAAGAATTGAGAACTTGGGGAGGATGGGGTGCCTCTGCAAAGGGCCCGCAGGGTGGCATGGACCCAGCAGCCAGGCTCGAGCACACAGAGTTGAGCACCAGAGCACTGCTGCCTTCCCTCAGTCTCTCTAGGAAATAAAGAGGCACCTCAGTAGAGACAACTGCCGAGTTAGACTCAAGACTCCACCAGAATATAAACAGGGAACACAGAGTACTGCTCACAGTAGCCTTCCTTCCACCTACTGGTGGCTCCAGGCACTCTCACAGCTCTGGTCAGCACCATCTGTCCTCACTGACTCTCATATAGCTCATACCAGCAGCTCCCTCTAAACCTTAAATGTCTTAAAACTGCATTTCATTCTCCCAGTTGAGTTCTTCCATTCAGCAAACTTTCCTCAAAACCAAGGTGGAGAACTCGCCAGCATTTCCCTTTAAGGGCCTTGGAGCTGTCTTTTACTGTAGAGACACGCCTTTCGTTAGGCTAGCTAGTGGTTTATTTTCTGGTTCCCCTACTCAAAGAACCAGTTTAGTTTCTGTTTTCTCACTAGTTCCTGTTTTTATTTTCATTACCTCTTGTCCTTAGGATCTTTTTATTGCAGTGGTAAGCACTGAGCTGTATCTGGCACATGATACTCATAATTTAATGAATAAATGTAGGTGTACATATTTATGTTTGTAATATATGCACTGAAAGATGTTACCAGGTGGTGACATTTCTTCTGATATTTATTTAAATGAATTATTTGACTGGATTTTATTTTTCATGAGCATCATCTACACACAGATAAAACTATTTGCAAATAAAGAAAATGCTGCTGTCCCCTAACTTCCAGTGGAAAGTTTTCCCTGACCAGTACCAGATTTCTCAAAACTAGGTTGGCTGTTCCTACTAAGTGCCCCAAAACTTCCTGTGATAAATGTTACTGCTACTATTATTTAATAGTATGAGGCACGAAGCAGGGCTTATACCCACATTACCTGAGTTGGTCCTCATTAGTTCCTTTTTACAGATGAAGCAGGTTAGTGACATGAAATCATGAGGCTCGGGTCACAGAACAGGTGAGCAACGCAGCTGAGATTCTAAACCCTGGCGGGTGGCCACTGAGCCCACTGTTTTAACCACAATTCCCCAGTGCCTCACCTGTACTTCCCCTAATTCCAGCTCTTGTTATATTGTTCTTATTTATTGGTCTTTGTTACCTGCTAGACTTAAGGGTAGACTTCATCTATCTGGCTTCCAAATGGATCCCTGGGATCTACCACATAGCAGCAACTCAATGAACTCTAGTTGAAAAACACATGTTTGCCATTCAGAGATCCTTGTCCATGCTTCTATTCCCAGATGAGCCAGATTGGGGATGTTCTTTAACAGGACCAAACCACTTCCGGAATCCAGTTCTACCCTGTTGAACTCAGTCTAGTTAGTGTTATAGTAACACCCAAGCCAAATATGTAAAGCAACAAGAAAGTATTTCTTCCAACACAAACATACCTAAACTCCCTTCCCTTCAACAAATAGGCATCTCTCACTCAACATCACTTCAATGCCTTGCAAGGAGTGAAAAGGAAAAACAAACTCCAATATGTTCCCTAGAGTTAAGGATGTTCCACAGTGGCCCTGGCCTGGAACGTGAGGCTCTGCTAGACAAGGTGGGAGAGCTGTAGCAGCAAAAGAAAAAAAAGGCAGACAGGTAGACAGAGTAGAGTCAGGAAATCTGGCTTTTAACACCACTCCACTTACTACATCAGTGATCTTGGGCAAAGGTTTGTTACCTCTCTGGGCTTCAACTGCTTTGTCTGTAAAAAGGGGATGACAGTGTCTTCTTCACTGGGTGGCTACAGGACTTAAGTAAGCTGTGTGTGAAACGCTAACACCTGCCAAACAGTAGGCACCCAACGAACAGTTTCCTTCTCTTTAAAGGCTAGACTAAATCAGCACTGAACTTGTTTCCTTCCAGGAAAAGCTTCCATGAGGCAACAAACACAGATCCTCAATGTACTGTTACTAAGGGTGGTTTGGCATCACCTGGGAGCTTGTTAGAAAATGCCAAATCTCAGGCACTACCTCAGATCTACTGAATCAGATTCTGCATTGTTAACAAGATCCCCAGGTGATTTACTCACAAAGTCAATGTGCAGAAGAGCCACCTTGACTATCATCCAGCACTAAGAGGGTGGAAAGGAGGGGAAGGTCCAGGCCCCCCCTGCCCCCCAAAAGCTCTTGTTCAGAAACTTTAAAGGTTTATATGTATGTATTTATTTAGGCGGCTGGCCGGAACAGGGATCGAACCGTGGTGTTATCAGCATCACGCTCTAACCAACTGAGCTAACTGGCCAGCCCCACTTAAAGGTTTGTAGAAGGTAAGATTACCTAACACTGAAGAAATTAGGAAGAGTTAAGAACCATAAACTAACAGGAGCATAACCAAACCCAGTTCTCTAGGCTTTGAGATTCCCAGAGTTCTTAGGTTTTACAATTAAGAACGTATTAAAATTTCTATGATCTACATACCAGAGTCCTTAATACATTCATTTTCTTAGGGAACTGCCTTAAGAAACTACAACCTCATGAAATAGGCACTCTTATAGACGTCCCCACTTTACAGACGAGAAAACTAAGGCTTAGTCCTCCAACTACTCCAACCTGGTTGTTCCTCTGCTTCTGAGCCTTCTCTGGCTCTCTGTGGCCTGCCACAGCAGTTCTCAGACTATAGGATTACAGCATACCTAAGACATCTGGGGAGTCCTCCGAGAATGTAGACTATGGAATTTCTGTTCAGAAGGTCCAGGAGTGGCTCTGGAATCTGTAATCTTGAGTGCTCAGAGGACACTGGCACAATAAAACCACTGACACCCACACACAAGCCACAAGTCCATGCTACTTAGCCTGATGATCAAGACCCTATACGAGTTGGTCCCTAAGGACATTTCAGGGAAACTCCTCATCCTTCCAATTCTAGCTCAGAAGGCTCTTGAACACGTGGTCTTCCCAGATCCTCACAACCCAGGCTGAATTAACCTTTCTCCCTAGTTTTCCCACAGCAGCACTTCTCAAACCTTAATGTGCATTTGAGTCACCTGGGCATCTTGCTGCCTTGTGATTCTGGTTCAGTGGCTCTGGAGCCGAGATTCTCTAACAAGTTCTTGGGTACACCGTGGCCATACTTTGAGTAGCAAGGGCCTGCTGAACTTTGCAGCATGACTCTATGGTAGCACTCATCACATTTCATCCACAGGGCCAGGATTTCACAGATATTGTTGACAATAGCTCCTGGAATTCCCTTAAAGTCAGCTGCAAGCAGGGAGACTAGGGGAACAAACTTGGAGATCAACATAAACCATTTCCCAGAGCCTCAATGCTGTGATTAGTTATTAGCGTCAAACAACTGCTACCATTTACTGACTACCTAGGAGCCACATCCTCCACCAGATGCTTTGTGTCTGCTCTGGTATGAACTGTTATCCCACATAAAGCACTCAGGCCTTGGTAGGATCTCAGTATATGGCAGCTCTTACTTCTAATGCTTACAACAAAAATGTCAAACCTGTATCAGCCATTTTTCTACAATTTTAGTTAGTCCTTGTAATGACTAACACAAAGTAGAAAATTACCAGAGAGAAAACTAACATCAAAGAGGTTAAATAATTTACTCAAGGTTAGTTACAAAGACAGGATGTAAATTCAGGACCTTAGGCTCTTAAGCTCTAGATACAATAAATGCTCTGAAACCTATCTTGACACAGCATACCTCCCACCTGTACTCACTAAGAAAAGGACACAGCTTCAGAGAGGTGAAGTGTGAAGTCAGCTGTCTTAAGACAATGAGCTGTAGCGTGGAATGAAAGAAATCTAGGGCTATGACTCCCAACTCCTCATCCTATGCCATGCTACCCTGCCATCTGACTTATCAAACCCTGCAGTAAATAAAGATGCCAATAAGGCTTAACACCTGAGGAAAGTGAGCCCTCCCTGCCCAGCTTCAGACTTCCTGGCCCTGGGGATGAGCTGTTAGGGCCTCTCCAGGCATGTACACTATGTTCACCTGATACTCACGTGTCTTTCTCCTTCTCAGAACTCTCATACTCCAGGAACACGATGTGCCGGGGGTAGTGGCCGCAGATATCGCCATTCACATTTGGAATCACGCTGAAACAGTAGTCTCGGCCAAACAGCTCCAGACATCTCTTCTCGATGCGCTCAACCTGCATAGAGGAGACCCAAGTATAAGATAAGACTCTGAGGTTCTGACAGTAAGAATTAGGCAGTCTGTGACCTGAAGAGGTCACTGGGAATGACATGTGCCTCTGTGATTATTATTCTTCAATGCCGGGAAGAGACATGATGCTGGGTAACAGGCCCTATGTGTAGTTCGTTAACCCATACATGGTATGCTTTGGGAAGAACCCTGAACCCAACAGTGTATGTGAAATTGTGTGTTGGACATCTGGCAGAGAGGAATAGAGCTTTCACTGGATTCAGAGGGGGAGTCCACAACCCATGAAATGTAAGAACTCTTGCTCTACTTTATTACAACTGGCATTAATCTATCATCTTCCCTTGGCACTAGATTCTTCCCTATTCTCCAGCCACAGACTAGTACCTAGAAGCTCTAGTTGGCATAATCACTAAAAGCTGCAGACAAAGCTGTCTCCTTACACACCATTTGCTTATGAAATAGAACAGCTCTCCTTCAAATTCATTTTGTTCACAGTTCAGGGAAAGGTCCACTAAGAAAAAGTCTTAAGACCTACAACTTCTTGAGGAGTTTGTAAGAGATCAGAAGGCCTGGACAGGCATAAACCCCAGCTGCAGTGAAAGTCAGGTGTAACTTACAACAACCCTAATCTTCAAGACTATAAGATGGAAGAGGGGTCCAGAAAAACCACCTGCCTTCTATAGCCACTCATAAGACCCTCCATTAAAAGTACTTTAAACACCAACAGGAAGGGGAAAAACTCAATGGCTTAAATTATGGACCTTCAAATTTCTTTTTCAAGGCACACAAGCATCATTAAAAAGCCTTTTAAAAAAATGCAAGTTCCAGGTTCCTCCACCCAGAAATTGACTCAGTAGGTCTAGGTGGGACCAAGGAATCTTTATTTTTCAAAAGTACCCCAGATAATGCTGAAACTCCGGACTATGCTATGAAAAATACTTGGTCATTTGGAAAGTTAGGAAGCCCCATTCTTACTAAAGTCTTCTCTGGGTTACCTCAGAGAACAGCAAATGCCAACTATAGCATGTCCCCGGCCTAAGTAATCTCTGGAGCCAAACCAGAGTTTTGTGGCCCAAGATGAAACAGATTCCCACTGGAAAACCTGTTGCTAAAGCTGCCAAAACCACTTGGGTAATGAGAGATGGCAGGGTCAGTAAGAATCCCATCAGACTGCAATGGCCTGACCAGACCGGAAGCTCCCCAGGTCTGGTGATAAAACGATTGAGGGGAATCCCAGGGGAGGGGGAAAAAAATAAAGAGGAACTGAGGTCTCCTTTGATAAAGGAACAGAGGTAGTGTGGGCTGGTTTCCTGCTCTACAAGGGAAGGAAAAGGTCGGGCCTAAGTCATGCTGAGACCTTATAAGGAGGAAACCCATTCCGTTCATCTCTTGACTTCATTCTGCCCCACTATCCCAGCTCCTTCATTCTGATCTGTGACCTGGAGGAATCCTCTGTTTTGCTTAGACTGGGGGTTTTGTGCCCTGTCACCGACCCCTCCCTAAAGCACTTGAAGCAGGAGAATAACCTAAGTTCCTCCTCTCTAAACTTTAAACCTGGCCCCTCAGCTCTGATCCTTGACCTCCAAACCCCTTGTCTCAAACCAAAAGGACAGCCCTCTTTGGCTCATTCAGGCTCTAGTTCCTCTTTTCATGGTTTTTAAGCCCGCCGCCTACTCTCCGGATCCAGACCTTGGAGAACTCTCTTCTTTCTCGGCAGGGAGGTACCACTCCTACTTTCCTCTGACCCCTGACCTCACTCTTTCCTCTGTAACTCCCCAAGTCCGGGGGCTTCTCCTGCACCTCCAGGCTCACCTTAGAGCCGCCCGTACCGCTGCCGTCTTTGGCCCGGTATTGAGTCCGAGAGAACTCCTCCAGCAGCTCCCCGAGTCCCGGCTCCTGCGGCGGCGGATTGCCCGAAGATGCCGAGGACTCCGCCGAAGCGGCGGCAGCGGCCCCAGCGCCGGCCATAGTTCAG